CTCTCTCTCTCTCTCTCTCTCTCTCTCTCTCTCTCTCTCTCTCTCTCCCTATATATACGTGTTATATATATATGTATATAACACGTTTACGTTAAAGTTCAAGATAACGGAATATATTCAAGTTTATTTTTTATTCATTAATCGAAAACTTCATCTAGATGAACATTTTGCACACTCCAGTTGTGTAACATACGTATACGATCAACTCGCGCTACAAATACTTTCAACACATCGTGTTTAAATAGGATACCATGAAATATTATATAAATATCTTTTACATGCATTGTTTTATTAAGAATTATCTTCGTATAGCGATACACATATCGCGTTCTCTACAATAGATTATTTTCTTACATGTTTGCAACAGTTAATACTTTTGGGACTCACTGTATACATATACGTATGTAAGTATGTATGACGGAAGTGACTCACGTTGACAGAACTTGATCGTATTTATCCGATCTTTATCATTCGTATAATTGTTAGATTTGAGAATAGCGAAAGAAATTCCTAAATTTTTAGCACCATGACGGAGATGACATTGTGCGGTGGAGTGTCCTGGAAAATAGCTCGTCCTTCGGCGTTCTTGTACGTTAAAAGGTCGACATCCATGACACTCCTCATTCCTAGTTTCTCTGCCGACCTTTTAGAGTATAGTGACGTATACACTCCAAACACGAATCCAACATCTTGAAGAGTGTCTTTTGCAAAGGAGATTCCTGCGGCCATCAGGGCCCTTGAGAGGCCCTTTCTTCTGTAATTCTTGTCTACAGCGACAGCATAAAATTCTACGGCAGCTTTAGAATCAGGAAATTTCCCGTATAAATCTGCCTTCTCGCTAATCTCTGACAAATAGTCGAAATACTGTTTCATTAACCTGGTTGTCGGTGGATTGTTAGTAAATGCGGCAGAAACTCCATCGGTGCTGTCGAATTTCGAGTTGTTGCTAACTATCATCAGATTAACACCAATTATTTTTTTAGACAGTTTGTCCAAAGCTACCAAGCAAGGCGAGAAGACAGATATTGCTCTTATCAGTCGCTCGTGATCGATTCTCATCGATTCTTTCTCTTCGCTCGTTAATTCATTGTTATTTCGTAGACTTTTCAACATAGTCTCCTCCCTATCAAAATTATCATATAGAAATGATAATATCTCGGACAAGTGTGACGGGTTCGCCCATTCAATGATATGCGAACCATTGTTAGATTCCATTGTAAATTGACTGAATCGAGAAATACTGGTTTAGTACTAGTGACGCCATCGGTGAGAAAACGCCCAAGTTTGTAGTGAAAATAGTTGTCACTGTTTCTGTAAGATGGCACCACGGATACATTTGAATAAATTATTCTGTATTTTTCATAAATACGCAATTAATACGATTCCTTATTTTATGACACCACAATATATTGTTTAAACATTATTATCATTAATGAAACAATAAATATCGACCGTTTAGTTAGTGGCGCCATCTAGCAGCAGCAGCACCGGGAACTATTTTCACTAGGAACTTGGCCATTTTCCCACCGATACTGTCACTAGTACAAAAACCAGTGTTAGTATAGTTCAGTGTACAAGTTATAGTTGAGTTGCGTTTTCAGTTTTCAGTAGCCGTATTATCGAACACGCTTTCTCGGTTTCGCGGCAGAGCGCGCGGCAGCGCGTGCGCAGCTTGACCGCGACAACAAAAAATAAGATGGCCGCCCAGCGAAACAAATAGAGCGCCGTTGTAAATAACAAACCGTCCAAGCACGTTCCGCGAGGAAATTCTCAACGCTGTGGTACGCGATGCACGCAGCCTCGTGATCGCTTCTTGGTGCTGTCATATCCATCTAACCACGACGCTAACCATTCAAGCGGCAAAGAACCCGCGACCGTGGTCATAGCCACGATTCATTACTGTTGAATGCGTCACGCGCGTGCACGAGCATCGAAGAACACAGACCAGAGGGGCAATCGAGCCGAGGAGGACAACCGTCGCCAGGATGCAATTGCGAAAGCGAGGCTACCTCGCGCCACGTACCTACCAACGGCTCGCCTAGCTCCTCATGCTAGTCTCGTCTTCCGAATTGCTTGGAGCACAGCATGAAGGAGATGCTTGGAGGGTGCTGTGTGTGTTCTGACGAGAGGGGATGGACTGAGAATCCGCTGGTGTACTGCGATGGCCAAGGTTGCACCGTTGCCGTACATCAAGGTCTGTCCATGTTACGCTACTCTCCGCAGAGTACTCTGCGAATTGAGTGTGCTCCAATCAGCTGTGCAATTCCTACGTACAAATTGTTTTTGCAGCTTGCTACGGTATCGTCACAGTACCAACTGGGCCATGGTACTGCAGGAAATGTGAATCACAGGAACGAAGTGCACGTGTGGTAAGTTGGTAAACTTCCAATTGTCTTTATAAATACAAGATAAACAATCACCGATACATTATTCTATCGCTATGTAAATATTAGTATACAAAGTTTTCATTTGTCATATCATGTATTATTATTTAACAGCGTTGCGAATTGTGTCCCAGTCGAGATGGAGCTCTTAAGAGAACGGATCAGGCTGGGTGGGCTCATGTTGTCTGCGCGCTTTATATACCAGAGGTTCGATTTGGTAACGTAACAACAATGGAGCCGATTATTTTGCAACTTATACCGACAGAAAGATTTAGTAAAGTAAGGACATTATCGATATTATCTTACGTTTTATAGTAATCGTAACAGATGCTTAACATTCATTTACGATACTCGCCATTCCAGTCTTGCTATATTTGCGAAGAACAAGGGAGAGGTAGCAGAGCTAATGTGGGAGCATGTATGCAATGCAACAAGACAGGCTGCAGGCAGCAATTTCATGTCACGTGTGCGCAAGCTCTTGGCTTGCTTTGCGAAGAGGCTGGCAACTATTTGGACAATGTCAAGTATTGCGGATACTGTCAGCATCATTATTCAAAATTGGTAAGTTCCGCGATTGTTGGGTAAATTTAACAGCTTTTATACATTTAAGTAACAATCTTGTTATTTAATATCCAGAAAAAGGGTGGTAACGTAAAAACAATACCACCGTACAAACCGATACCAGCTGACAATGGCTCGTCAGATTCGTCTCCTGAAAAGGAAGCAGAAACACCGATAAAGTCTTCGTCAAGTGGTAAACGAAAGAGTTCAAGTTCCAAATCCGCTACCAATTCTAAAAACAAATCCAATACTAGTCCAAGTCTAGAAATAAATGGCGTTGCTGACGACAAAAGCAGCAGCGGCCGTAACACACCCAAAGACAACACCACAAATTCAAGTAAATTCACAACTTCCAACTTCGTAGAGACAATCGTCACCCAATCGGAGAGTGTCTTTGGGCATGATGGCACTACTTCAACTACTACAACAGTGATGATTAAGTCGGGATCGAATTCGAACTCTGGCCACAAAAACAGTGGACAAATGAAATTGAACTCATCGTCAAACAAGACCTCGATCCATAGTAAAAAGAGAAAAACTGGAGCTCGTACACCGACGGTGATAGGAAACGAGAATTCTAACCAATCAGTCAGTTCGGAGGCTAGTGGCTCGGTCGTGGTTGCGGTCAGCTCCATTGTGCAACAAGCGATTTCAAGCAACAGTGTACAGATAACGGAAGCGACTAGTCTAAGTACAACCACAGACCCAGAAAAATCCAAAAAGGTAAGCGCAGTTCAATAGAAATTATTACTTTTTCTTTCTAATTAGTTTCCCGTTATAAAACTGCTACATCGAGTCTGGAATTTATACTATGACACCTTGATGATATTTTAGCTGAAAGTTGAGAGTCCCGTCCAGTCATTGTCGAGCACTCCAGTCAGCACCGAAGCATCCACCACACCTGTGATAATGGCTGTGACGCAGTCCCAGTCGTCGGTTGTTACCCAGTCGCCGACGACTACATCGAATAGCATAGTCGTATCCGTTCCCCTGACCGCGACGTCGCTTTCTAATACAGTGCAGAGTGTAGTAACGAGCGCTCCAACCCTGTATCAGCAGTTGCAACAGAGCATCATCACCACAGCGGCCACCACGGAGCTGAGGGCGAGTGCAATGTCGAATTCGGAGAAATTTGCTCCAGAAGAAGCACCTGCTAAGAGATCTCGGTAAGTATTTCGTTCCAAATAGACTGTATACCTAAACCTTCTATTTCATTCATTATCCGGCATCAAGCTGCTTGATTAAGTTTGGTTAGCTCCTACAAAGAATGCACGACCTCTGCTTCGCACATTGATAATTGCTCCAACTTTCAAACGTCATAATATAATTTATATTATAATTTATTTATGGTGTCATAAACGGAGTTAACGGAATAGATTATACTTGGCAAATATTTGCAAGGAAAAGACATTTCAAAGGATACGCTATAAAATTGTTTCAAAATTGCTAATTCCTTATATTGAAAAAAATGTTTGCAGTGGGATTGCGTTTGGACTCATTTTCATTGAAACAAATGTATCGTTTCATTGGTAAGACTTTCATTACATAGTTCAATGAAAAATATAAGAATGTCAAATTTCGTTAAAAGACAATACATTTAAACATTGGTGGAAATAACTCTGCATCTTGCAACTAGGGTCAAAATCAAGCCTTTAAACGAGGAACTACTGGTGCATTTATAAAAATATTTGTTATTCTATAGAATACAACTTTTATCCGACTCATTTCGTTGTAAAAAATATAATATCGATGCAAATCAAGATAATAATTTAGTATAGATATTCGTGCGTATTTTTACGTGGTCAAATCTTTAACTCTTAACGGTTCCATATCGAGTATCAACTTGACAGAAATCAACTGAAATCAGAAACTTTGGACTGGAAAGGATCAACGTAATCTTATTTACGTATTTATGTAATTTTTATTTTTCACGAAAGGTTTAATTATACTCCATTTCAAAATACGCGCCAAAATAGTATGCATCAAAATGGCCGACCATTGGATAAACAAGCCACTTTGTTTCTAACCTCTTCGCGTGTATCGTAAAAATTGTTCAGGTAGACAAATTTTATGGTCTATGAATTTACGGTACTGTGGCAAATATCGCACCACTCGGGGTACGACTAATTTCTTTGAAAATGTTGGAAACTATTGTGATAGTTGGAAGATGTCCGCGACAACGCTGTGCCCCGTAAAAAGGAAAAATAATTTCAGAGAATTTTTTTAATTATTACATTTTTATATGACGCGAGTCGTGAAAACTCCTCGGCTACATGAAATTTCGCGAACAACTGTGATTCTCTTAGCGTTCCTGTGATTCGTCTGTAGCTTTAAGGATACTTTGAGGTTATGTTTGTTTTTTCTACCTCAAGGGGCCTCAAGGGCAACGAACGAAGGAAAGGAGTAACGTGATGTTATAAATGGCACTACCACACCGGTCCGTTTATATTGGTTCTTATACAGCAATGCATTTCATAAATATTTGTAAAACTTGTTCATATCATCATACTCCTGTAATTAGTTATATAAACTAGTGTCTAAAGTACACTATTGTTTCAATTTTCGTTTTGTGAACATTGTAGCGAGAACCCCGTAAATATATATACAATCCATCTATAGGTTTCTACTATGACATAAGAATCCACGCTGGGTCACACATGTATACAAATAGAAGGTTATCGCTGCAATGTTTAGAAGTCTGTGGGAAACTAGCGACAGAATCAATCCATATAACAAAAAATCTAATGTGCAACTGTAAATACGAATGCATATTTTATTTACATTTTTAGTTCTCAATCGTCGGATAAGCAGGAGAGGACACGCAAACCAAAGCGTGGTTCGTCCAATAGTCAACCAGCACTGCCACAACCGCAATTGCAACAACAACCCCAACCAACAGGTTCTTCCGTAGTAACATCGGTATCCAGTAGCGCAGTGGTGACTACGTCCAGGCGGGGAGGAAGAAGTAATCATCAGACTCCTCCGCCTGCTGTGTCCGTAACGCCCATACCATCCATTATTCAAGGACCAACGTTAAGCGGTGGGCATTTTAGCAGCGTCGGATCTGGTTCTACAAATACGATGGGTCCTACAGTTAAAGAGTCTCCCCCGAGCAGCCCTGGATCCGAAAGTATGAGTAGCAACGGACCGGGAAGGCGAAAGAGAAAAAGTGCTAGTGCAGCTTCTACGACGCCTACACCTTCTGCATCAAGCACTCCAACGCTTACGAACCCTAAAGAAGAGAAAGATGTTAAGCTGTAAGAATCGATACCGATAGATAATACTAGTTTCTGTTGTGCTTGTGTTAATTCAAATTATGTAACAGGTTTCAGAATGGAGTTAGTGCACCGCACATGTTAGGGAATCAATTGAACCCAACCTCGACGATGGCACAAAAGATGTCCGACACCCTGTCGCAAGAACTGGAAGCACATTCTATTTTTACAGAAGCGAGTAATTCCACAACGAATTTAGTCGGCCCACAACTACATAGTCGGGTGATCGCGTCTGTATGTATTTGTAAAACTGAGTATTTAATTATATTTCTAGCGATAATAATAACAGGAGTAATGTTTTTTGTAAGCAGATTCGGTCGAATCAGGCTAGTGCACCGCCTACATCCTTTTCTTCAGTTTTTAATACAGCAAGTAATGCCAACCCCAACACCAGCACCAGTACTGGCGCTGGTTCCATCACCGGTTCGCTAGGAGGTGGAGCGATACCCCAAACATTGGATCAACTTCTAGAGAGGCAATGGGAACAAGGAAGTCAATTCTTGATGGAACAGGCTCAACATTTTGACAGTGAGTGTACGGCAAGGAAAAACATGCTTTTAGTCACATGGGTATTGGAAAAAATCGAGATCTCTTTATTCGTTTTGTTTTCAATTATTTTTGCATGAATTTATTATCAGAGTTTATATTCTGAGATTTATATAATGTAAAGTACATTGCTTCGTGGGTTACTTAGGCTTAAAATTATCCTATGCATCTAAGGAATAAGGTTGATAACTGAACACTTTGGAATGTTCTTTACAGTCGCTTCCCTACTTTCGTGTCTTCATCAATTAAGAGCAGAAAACCTTAGGTTAGAAGAACATGTAAATAGTCTGTTACAAAGGAGAGATCACTTATTGGCTGTGAACGCTAGACTTGCTATCCCACTGACAACTCAGCCTAGTACGCATCCAGGTAATTTCTTTTGTGGTTCGTGATCACGTTTGGATTAAAATTCCAACTGTAAAAAAATATCCAATTTATTACTTAATTACATAAACCAATTGCAGCGAACAATATACATCCATCTGTCAATCCGTCTCACCCCAATGTTCCACACCCTGATGTTCCACCAGGAGCTGCAGCTCCAGTTCCAAGAGTGAACCGTGAACCTCGAGTGAACAACACGTACATGCCTCATTCGAGTTCCAGTAATCATTCAACAACATTAGAGAACGGTTTACCTCCGGATCCCTCGCCTCCAGCTGCCGCGTCTCTGCCTCAATATCAACACAGGACTTCGTTAGTGGCACCTCAACCAAGTCCAACAATCAGGTAGCGTATCTGTCTTTTGCTCAACTCCACAGGTGCAGGTATTTTAAAATTTATTTCTTGCTGCGATGATTGGGAATAGACACAGCCCGGCAGGAAGTGCGTATCATCAAGGGCAACCCAGCAATATCGTGTCTCCGGCACCCGCCAGCAATTCTGGAGTTGTCAGGAACTCATCTGTTACACCGGATCCGTTGCGTGGAGTGCCAAGGTGAATAAAGCTTCCCCGCTACAATCTTTGTTTTTGCGTGGTTCTTCTGTTCCGTGTCGATAATCTATGTCCTCTTCTAGGTCAGTTCCACAGACATTGAGCAATTACATGCCTTCGATGTATCAATCCACTATGTCCAGTCTGACAAATAATCAAGTAGGTAATGTTCATAATCTTCATTCTCATGGACCTTCTCCACCCAGCCACGGGCCGCCTGGGAAACCCAGCTGAAGATAAATGCAAGCACTGAGTAAATAGAAGCGTCCTGCATTCATTAGCAGACGTGGTAGCGATGAAGCTTAATCATCAACCTGGAGACGTACTCCATTCTCAAAAATGGGTAGGAAACTCTCATCGCCTCACCCTTCGCTATCAATTCGACACGTGCTTCGTCGCTTAAAATCGATTTTATCGTATTTTATTTGGTTTTGACTTTTGTTATCAAACTCCACAGTTCGCTGTGTAGTTGATGATATTAATTTATGAAGTAATGATGATGTGGATAATTCTAAATACGTAACTCTATGTATTTCTAAGCAGAATTTTCGACATGGCGTCTGAATGTAAAAATGACGAGCACGACAATTAGGGATAGTTTCACAAGCAAAAAGGGGAGGCACTTTATATGTTGGTTTTCCTTTTTCGTTTCTCCTTGGTTACGCGTCGTTGAGCACGTCTAAGACAATCTTTCCATCGTCGGCATCATGATGAAAGAGAAAAATAAACGGGAAATCCGCAGATGTACAAATCTTAGATTGTAAGTTAATCTACCGCGACGAGAATAGCAATAATATTTACAAGTAGATGTACATTTTAACGGAAGGTGACCGCGTGTAAGTCTGGTGGTACGACAAAGTTCACCCGTCGTTTTATACAGAGGCATTTCTCACAAAAACGTTTCACCAACTTTCCACGATTTTTATTCTTTTTGTTGGTAAGAAAGGAAAGGATTCGGGATTCGGAGGAAGTGATTGTTAATTCGAGTCGGGAAATGCAAAGTCAACAAAGTTGAATGATTTCAATTGCCCATTGTTGTTAAGTGACTCTGTATACTTGAAAAAAGTATACTTTCCATTTGACCAAACTTTTTTACTCTGGTAAATACAGAATATCCTCCTGCCCCTGAATCCTTTATTTCAAGCGCTCTGCAGATTCAAATGCCATGCTGTTAATTTTGGTGGGAAGGGGGGAGGGGGGAGGGGGGGGGTCTCTTTAGAACACCACTGTCGACAAAGGCTGCACCTTTGATAGTAGACCTTTTATAGTAGATTTTAATGCGGAATCGATCTGTCTCACAACTAGACGATGTATATTCTAATCTTATACATAAAACATACTTAGAAGTACAACACGAGCACTGCCTTCCACCAATAAAGCGTCGCCGTGAGACAGGTCGATTATTAAGCTCCTCTCCGTAGCAAATGTATAATTGATATTAATCGAGGCTTTCTAGTATAAGCCGTGTCTTTTGAGTAAGATACTTGTACGTTGCAGCTAGCTTCTTCAGGGTTCAAATGACACACCGATATCGGTGCTGATATCGTACTATAACTTGGCTCATATTTATACTTTAACTGCCGGCCTATTTAAAAAGAGTCTACACTTTAGAAGAGAACTTTTTACATTAGTCTATATCGATCTAGGTTGATATTAACTTTTGCATACTGTGAACAGGTATATTAAAAGCATTGTTTGTTTCTAAATGTTGAGCACTATAAGTAGACGAATCAACAACACCGTTAATAGATTCCAATAAATACCTACCTAATTTGTAAGGAAGTGCAATGATGATTAAACGTTGAAGTATTTTACTCAAATGAATAAGCCTCATTTAATATCAACCATAAAGAACCGAGCCATGAAAGTCTCGAATATCTTAAACGTGTAATTGCTTCTACTTCAATTTGGTTCTCGATTGACTGATAGAGCTGTACCGTGAGTCGTGGCAACCATATTGGCTCGGAGCCTTAACGTTTCATAAGTTTTTCCTCAAGTTTGCTCGAGGAGTGTTTCAATATTGTACATTATAGGTTTCACACGCTTCGTTTGTGAACACAGCGGGTTTATTTTGCAATTCATCTTCCTTCATTGCTGGTACCTTACCTTTCTCTATGGCATCGAATACTTGGTTTGAATCATAAGGGACAGTGTAATCTTTATCGATCACTGTAATGGTAACCGAATGGTAGATACGTAATCAAAATTTCTTACGAGAGTACAGAAAACTGTTGGGAGAATTTATAGGACGAAATTTTGCTTGAAGACTAGAGAAAATGAGAAAAATTTGGATCGCAAAGGGTTAAAATAAACCTCCATTGGAGCTGTTAGAGTATTTGTAACTAGAAGACCAAGCTTCTCCTTTTATAGGAATTTCTACTGATTACGATGAAGAAGAAACATCCTTCTCATTTGAAAAGTATCCGAGTTTGAAGAGTAGAGAGTTTGAATGTGCAGCATGTTCCAATCGATTCGAATCATTTTTTCCGTTTGTTTTCTATACCACTGCCTGGCTGCCAAGCCTACATTATTTAAATATCAATGCTTCGTTCCCTTGTGAAGAACGAAAATGTTTAAAAAAAAAAAAAAAAACGAAAATGTTTACCATATTGTGTTCTTTGTTTTAATTAGTACGGTACGGAAGGAGAATTTTAGAACGTGTTAGAGGATTACGTGAGAAATGGATTTGTTTTTGGTTGAACGTGTAAATTTTGTAAAGCTGCGCCAAGAATTTTTAAGCTTACACTGTATGATAAAGATAATGTGTATGCAAGTATGAGATGATAGTAGTGGTAGATCACGAGGACACCAAATCTTCAAAATGGCTCGTCACCACTCAGGGAAAATTGATTTACTATAAAAAATTCGTATTTTCTCAGCGTACGTTGATTGTGCATCTAGTAAGAAATTCTCACCCAAGTATTGTGCACGTTTTACATTTTGCTTGAAGATTGTAATATTCATCAAACAGATAAGAAGTTGTTTATCTTTTGTTTGTTATTCAAACCTTTTATCCGGATAAGAATTTTGAATGTTCCCGCAATAAATAATACACTGTCTTTTTTTCTCAGTCTTGGAAGAATCATCTCGACAGAGATATATTTTTAATTTATAAAAACACACATGGATCGAGATCCAGACAATGTACAACTTGTTTCCATTAATTTTAAGGTTCTAACCTTCTCAATTGTCTCATAATGGGTGTAGAGTTGTAAAGTATGGATCAACGAAGATCCGCAATCAACTACCTTGTGGAAAGCCGAGAAAGTTTCTGAGAAAAATAAGAAAAGTGTAAAAAAAAAAAAAAAGAGAAGATAAACGATGATCGAAAACAACAATTTATACCGATGAAGAGTATTTTATGCATTATCAATGTAGTGTTGCTGTACGTTTAAGGTAATATTGTACGACAGGATGCGAGAAAGAGCGAAGCATGCACGACAGAATAGTATGATCAAAGTTAAAAGAGCAGTACGATAATATTTTTACACAGCAGGCCGTGCCAAATTTTTGCAAATCATTAAACATCTCAATCTCTTGAATATTGCGTCGTTTAAAAACATTTCAAAACTGTAATCGACTTTGTTTTGCCTGAGATTAAACTTTTTCCGGGAAAAAGAGGATACGTAACTCTTAGTTTTGTTTAACGATACTTGAATGAATTATGTTCACGCTGCAGTGAGAAAAAAACGCCGATTCCCGTTCTTGTGTTCACTTTCAGTTGGTGTACAAATGAATTATTGTGTTCCTAATCCGCCGTGGATCGACTATGGAAGCTCGTCGCTTGGAAATTTCACTTTTAATTTCACCAAAGTCTTCTCTAACAGAGAATATTGGGTTTATGCACACAACAAGCAAGAAAATATCAAGAATAAGTATTTACCACTAACTTAACGATAGAGATCGTTACAAAAAACGTAAAAAATTCATGAACGCGAACAAAATTGTATCATTCTTTGATAACAAGACATATTTTAAGAAGTAATTTTCTGTACTTAATCGAATTCCGTTGTAAACTTTGCGTAAACCCAGTGAACCTCTGTTTATTAGAATATTCTATTTGTAGATTTATCTTAAATGTTTTGTACGTATATATTTATGTACACAGAAATCATGCGTTTAGCATAGACGTAGATCGTATTAAGTATTGTAAATACAAATATTGTAAAATATTTGTTCCTGAAATTGAACCATTGGGGTTTGACGCATCGTTAAGTTCATTGTTTTTTATCAACGAATACAAACTGTTGGGGAATGTATTGAAAGCAGATGAAGTTCCATTAGCTTTTTCTCGAGAACTCGAGCATTTTGAAAGTTTTGATTGTTATCTAAACAAGGGATTTGTACCCAAATAAAAAGATACCGATATTGTACTGATAATTTCTTGTCCATGTTTCAAAAATCCTTGTAGCAAACATGTCAAACCGCGCCGATCTGCAACAATTACAAATACCCTATATATGTATATACGATAGATGTATTTCATTTTTTAATGGTTCTTGGCATCATTTTGCAGACACAGAATGAAAAAATTTAACATTGTACAAAAACTTGAACCAACATTATATGTATATTCATAGATCTTAAAATATTTTCAAGATTAACAATAAAGTAAATTATTTATTATTTATAATTTTATAGGTAAAATTAAAAATTGTAACGAAAACCTCGAGGTTGACGATGTTTGCAAAATTTGCGAGTATTTCTAAGACTGCAAAGAAATCCCTGACGTTTGTCTTAGTGATGGCCAACAATCGTGGGAAATACCACCTGCGACCTCGTCTCCAACGAATCAATATTACACAGTGAGTATACGAATACACTGTATGTCATGGATTATGTTTAAAGGATACAATTGCGAAAAGGAATTTGTTCAATTTAGATTTTCGAATTAACATATTACAGTGTGTTCCAGAAACATATGGTGACGGGGGTTTCCCAGTTCCCAGAAAAGAAATAGAAGGATTTTATACAGGAAGGGGAGAAACATTAACGTAATATTTTATTTGTTATTAAGCATATCTGTGACAAAGATTATGGGCAACTGAGTTTGATATTATTCAATTGATGCATGTAAACTGGTAACAGGTTAAATAAAAGGAAATGTAGCTGTGTCAGGAATCTAATCGCTCACTGATGACAATCGAGTAGAGTAATGGTGTTCCCCGGACCACGACAATCGGTCGGAGTATATTCCGAGTAAATTACGAGCATAAAAGTGATCCGTCTAGGTCCACCGTTACAGCTTCTGGAAACACCCCCAGAACGCAGCTGTCCAGGTATTTGCGTGCCCCAATTTTCACCCTGGAGGGATCTGGTTTGAGGTGGGGCGGGACGGAAGGGTGACTGAAGTGAATGCTCTCTTTTGCTCGGGGCACCCCTCAACTCGAAATATCCCGCGCCGGTGTAACGGACCCCCTAAATTTCTGCCTTTGAATGTAACACCATTAATTCGATTCTCAGCTTTTCACCGCCAAACTCTGTTGTCTAGAAATTTTACTGTTTTAGAGTATTCAATTATAATACTTACTTATCAGACCAATTACACTGCCTAGGCTACTTGTTTTTACAAACAGCAACGTAAGTTCAATGTCTCTCTCTAATCGTGAAAAATGTATCTAGCTATCCGGCTAGATTGACTAATAACGAATTCTCGAATGATGAGTTATTTGATATTTCGAAAGAATCGACGTGTTCATTAATTTGATTTTATTCCGAAAGCGATTAGAAACCGCCGCGCGTAGTCCATGGAGAAATAAGTGGTTAAGGGGCGGAGGGAAGGCGCGAAAGTTCGGTACCCCACGTTGAACCTAATCGGCTCGAACGTCACAGTACCGTGATCCCGTGAAAATTAGCAAACCATAGAAAACCGCTTGCAGCCCCATTCGCGTATCAGAGACGCATTAAGAACACCCTCTTGTCACGAGGGTCGCACTTGTGTTGAGCCTCGCAGCTGGAGTGTCGCACAAATAAAGTATTAATTCTCGATTCATCTCGTAATAGCAATGTTACGTTACGTTCAAGCATCGCAAGCTCATCTTTGTCCAGGAAGCTTCAGTTGTTCAGGGATTCGTTCAAATGAAACGCGGGGAGTTACTTTAGAGTTTTAGAGTGCAAAGTACAGCGTAGAATTTAACATGAAAATTAATAAAGAATTGGCTTGAAAACGCTCATATGGAGATACCATTGTTATTAGTAGTGTTAGTATGAAACTAGCCCAAGTGGCAAACATTGCTTGAGATAATCACAGGAGGATCCTGTACTGCATCGCAATATTTTAGGGTTTAAATCGCCACTCTGGTACAAGTGTCAAAGATAACACGTGTTACTGTTACAAACAGTATCGAACGATGATGATAAGAGCAGGTGTATAGACACACCTGGGTAAATCGTAGATAATGTTTGCATCACTTCGATGACGCGATAGGGTCGAATATCGTAGAGATAGAACAATAGATAATAGAGTATAAAATGAATAGAGTTAGAAAAAGAAGCGATTGGAAAGTAGAGCAAACAAAAAAAAAAAGGAAAGAAAAGAAAAGAAAAGGAAAGGAAAGGACAACGTCCGGAAAAGGTTGATTCGTCCATAGGGCCATGTACATCTTCCCTAATTGTCCACAAATCGTCGGCCACCCTCGATTTCCAAACCGTTAAGTGTAACCACCCCCTGGCACCAGGGGTGTTCCGCTTCTGTTGAAAGGGTCCGTATACAACAGGGTAGAATATGGATTCAATTACACATCATTGTGTCGCGGTGTCTATAAACAATGCTGTTTTCACAGCTGATAACTGCCCCAGCCAGCCCCACGTCATGCTGTGGGCTACTGTGGCTCGGCAACGTCACAGATATAGTCTTAATCTTCTTTGGGAAAATTATTTTCACTCTATTTCAATTCCAGACTTATCAACGTGATTTATTGATAAGTGTTCTACAAGTCTTCTAATAACTTGCTATTCTAACGTAACTCCATTCACAAACAACAATATTTTCGTTAATAAATAGAATGCTAGTATTCTTATTTTCAAAGACTATTTGTTCATACTGGAAAAATAGCAAAGAGGGAAAGAGGATCGTGCCCGTGGGAAGAGTCGCAGCCGTCGGCGTCGCCGCCATTATTCTCGCGTTGCAGAGCGTCGCGACGCGACGCCGCAATATCGACGTACCGCCCACGATCACTCTCCCTCTTCCAGCCTAGCTTCCTTCTCTGCTCCCATTTTTGTCGAATTCTATGCTACAATTTCCGCAAGTGTTTACTGTTGTACTTTTTCATTTTCTTTTTTCTTTTTTTTTTTTACGGTTTTCCATCCGCCATTTTGCGACGTACATTTGGTCAATGCGCTCCGATAAAGTTCAAATTTTCTTGATTTACAATGCAAGACTTGAACAATCTGAATATCGAAGTGTAACTGTATATTTAATGCAGATGATTGAGAATACTGGGAAATTTAGAAATCAAAGAGATAGTAAATAATTAATCGAATTAAAGAATTGCAAAAGAATGGGAAAGCAGGGAAAATACATCAGGAAAAAATTGAAAACAATGGTAAAGTCGAAGTATCTATTAATTTATTTGGCGTCGATGACAACGGTGTCGACAATTATTTCGATTTCTATTATTCGTCTTTTTTCACGTACAAACGATACCTACTTACTCGTATTATACATTATTTACTTCTAACAGTGTTTTGTATTTACAAAAATTAAAATTCCGTCGGAAGAATTTTTCACGAAAAATAAAAACACAATTTTTATCGATGAAAAGAAACATACATATATTCCGACAGAATCTTCATAAATTGTTTGTATATAGTATAAGCGTTTTGACCATTGCTACAAAGAAATCAGAAGAAACGTTCAGTTTACCAGTCCAGTCCAGTCTACACGTTATTAAATCGTTTATTTGTTTCTCGCAAATTTCAATGCGAATTATCAAAATTTCATTAAAATTCACACTATTACTTTATTATCCGAATACAAATTGTGCTTATCGTTAGATTCGATTTTCACTTAAATTAATAATAAAAGTAACATTTCCTTCGTTTTTGACTTGTTACCGTTTCGTCAGATACAATAATTAGATATAATAGCATTAACGATAATAATACTGTTAACGTTAGCAGAGTTTGACTAGATTTCTTCAATTAAATGACACAAAAGTGTATTTTACAACAATTGCACGCGCAGTACTGTATTACATATATATGTAGTTGATATCGACTAAAAGAAGACAAAAATCTTTGTTTCTATTCAAAAATAATTATATTCCTGAAGGTTAATTTCGAAATTCAAGGAACTAACGTTTGAAGAAATTTATAAAAAGATGACTAGAGTTATCGGTCCTTAAATACTAAATAACAGTTAAGACAGTGCTTCTCAACCTTTCCAAAGAACAAACCAAATTACATGGGGAGCAGTTATTTTGGCCCAAAAAAAAAAGTTTTTCAAAATAAATTTCAATTTAATTTGAAGTTACATATAAAATAGAATGTCAAATATAATATTAAATTATAATTATTATTTAAAATCAAATTAAACGAAAGTTAATAATGTTTGAATGAAATGTAAATTCTCTTTATCTTTTCAGTAATTTGTTTGCAAAGATTTGAAATGGATCCTAGCCATTGATTGAGAAACACTGGATCATCGAGAAGACCTGAACAGTTTTACTCAAACGTTGAACCGTTCTTCGATGCTCGTGGATCTTCTGGTGTCCAGACCTTTGCGTACATCGTTCCATTCGAGGAAATATCCGACTTCCTGGACCAGGATAGAGAATGAAAAATGAAGGGATTCCCCTCGCTGCCTGAAATTTGACCATCAGAAATAGTTAACACCTCGAGTAACTTGGCCTTCTGCCCAAGGAATAAGGATACGGATATCCTTTAAATCGTCGTGAAATAAGAAAATGATGAAAGTACGATCGGTATTGGCCTCACCACGAACTATGACCTTCTTAGCGTCGTCCCGACCGGAGCATCTCGAGTGTCCACCGTTTCCTGTCAAGGGATCGTTGCCCGTGTCTGCTCTGACCAGTTCGTTCAAGAATTTTATGTATCCAATCGCCAACTTTAAAGTGTCAACTTTGGAGAGCCTCTTCTCATAGGGAAGAGTCGGTATGTGAGCCCTTAAACCCTCGAAGGCGTCGTTTATGTTTTGCATACGCCGCCTTTCCCTCATGTTGGCGGCCTGCCTCTGCTGCACCGCCTGTCTTGGACTCTTTCCCGATGCCCCGTTGCGTCTATTGCTCTGACTTCTTCTGGAAACAATCGTAACATGTTTATTTCTCTAAGCGAGCTTGAGGTCTGAGGTCTGAGTGACTGTTGCTGTAGGCCTGTAGGAATTTCAACGCAAAATACTCACTCTCTGGAGTGGTTCTCCTGGTCGCTACTGTAAGCACTCTCATTGTCGCTGCTATTCTCGTCGTACAAGTAAATTTCGCTGCCACTGGTGCTCCCAGTACTTCCAGGAGGATGAGAGACCAGTTGCGATGGAATCGGAGGCAGAGTGGCCGCGGTCGGCGGGCCGCAATGCGGCGGCAAAGCAGGAATGGCTGGATTGCCCAGAAAACTGTGAGCCTCGTACATGTACTGCCTATTCATCATGTCCAGCTCGATATTATCCATCGAATACATCTTGAAGAATCTATCTGCTCCTGATAGATATGTTAACCAACGCTGTCCATAACTTGAAATTCTTCGAGCTTTACGACTAGAATCGCTGACTGGACGTTGACTAGATTGGTAAACGATGACTTTGCGATAACGAATTTGGAAAATTTCGAGTAAACGAGAAACATTAAATTTGCAAGAATTTCTACCAGAGCGTCTACTAAAGTTCAGAGAGACAACTAGAGTTCGGAGAGTCTATTGTACGTTACGGTCCAGAGGGCCCGAAGAGTCTACTTTTCGGTTCGCGAGTCTATTTATCTGAAACACTTGACACCTCGATCGTTTTTCTAGTTTTTCCGCTTGGATATCCTCCAGAGACTCGAAGAAATCGGGCTTAGGGTCCACTCTTTTTCCGAACTCTAAACGAATCGGGATTTTTCAGTTAACGGTCAACCGTCCGATCCCATTACCATGGGATTACCAAACAGTTACCATAGGAATTCCTGTTTAAGCACCCTTGGTCACGTCCCGGGGATCCACCGATTTTATCAAGCCACGTGTCCCCTGGTGCGTGCTAGGAAATGCTTTTAAACACCGACACGTGGCGGCAAGAGGTCAGGGCACGTGACCAGATTTGTCCAAACACTTATCAGCGTGTACCCTAACCGATGCGAGCCGGGATCCTTCACGGAAATGGAGCCAGGTCCAGAGAGTTCCAGAAGGATCGTCTTCATTCTCGATTCGTGCTCGTAACGTTCACCAATTTTACCCAATGCCGTTTGACGTGTGTATTTTGGTTCATCTCCGATGTCATTCTTGAGTCTTGGACGCTTCGACACTCATTTCTTCAGTTGGGACGTTCAGATTCTTCTGTCTGTTCTGACCAAGAGGAAATTCACGTTTTTTTAATGGGGGCTCGAACGTAGATTTACCAAGCAAAGCGCGAAACTTGACGAGACTTTAAGCGACATCCATTCGCGATCTTTAAGAATTATGGAAGAATTCAGCAAGAGTGACACTGACACCACGGGACGGTCACCTTGGTTCAGGTGATCTCGCGCAACTGACATGAAAGGGAAAAGTGGAGGGTGGAAGCCATTCCCCAGGGTTGAAACCCCAGCCACCATCCCCATTCGTCGAGCTGCCTGCTGGCGGAGCCTGCCTACCTCTGGTTGCCAAGTTGCTAGTTCCGCCTTTTCATTGATCTGATAAGGTAGCCTCGGAGAACCTCGCTGCTGGATAACTCGATGAAAAAATGTCACTTTGAGGATATTTCACATTACGTGTACATGTACGTTAGAAAATTACTTTGTCGAACGAGTTTAATGACCGATCTATTTCACCTTAGACAGCTATAGTCTAATCGTTTCCTTGTTCCTTTACATTCTTCGTTGTAGGTGTAACGAACAATTCCAACTCATCGGAACAAATTGGCGACCTCGAAGATATTTCACTTATTCAACGTTAAACGTTCCCACTTGTACCAACAGCCACGACTAACAATAAGTAACTTGTAAATCTGACACTCTATCAAACTACGCTCTCCTTGTTGAGAAGAATTCACGGAACCTAGAGAAAATTCTTACGAAAGATGAACCTCGAATAACCAAATGGATTAGGTCTGGATTAGGTCGCGGTAAATTACGCAAAGATCAAGAGAATTTTCTGCGAGACCTGTTTGCCGAGACAAGTTCCCACGGTGGTCTCACTTGGCTTCGGCAACTGCGATAGTACACAAACAACATTGTGCATTTATTGCTGGCATTACAATTTCAGTTCAGCGTGACACGCGATTCCGGTGAACATGCTGTCGCGACAGCCTGCGTTATTAAATAATAGAATTCTGGGGTAGATAATAATACAACAGAAATCAGGTGGAACCTGTTACAGAGACGCATAATTACACGTTACCGTTCCAGGGCCAAATGTCGCCTAAGCGGTTAACCCTCGATGAACCCTTAGCCACCATTTCTGGTGTACACGTGCATGGCACGTGCCTCTGATTTCCTTTCCCATTGCACCTTTGATTCGTGCTCTTTTTACAGGCAACCGTTGCTAGTTGCTAGCCATGAAATTGCAACAGTTTCGAGACTCCCTTAACGAGAACGATCCCACTGCTCAATTTAGCTATGAAACAGGTTTCTATTACTGTTACTAATGATAATGGTTAATCGTCGAGTCGTAGCTCTATTTTTCGAGAAAACCGCGTACATGTGTATATTTTCTCGAGTCCTGTTACTCGCGCAACGCGGTAAAACGAATATGTGCGTTATTATAATAATACCAGCGGAAAGTACATATTATTTGCTTACGGAATGCAACAAAGCAAACTATCACTTTGCAATCGTAATGTTATCGAGCTAGTTTCTCTCCAGGTGGAAACTAACTGGTTTCCCTCTAACCGTTTTCTTTGACGCCCCGACTACACATACGACTGGGCATAAAGTGTAACGCATTATATATCGATTTCCCACTATATTTATCAAACGCGTCCGTCGAGTCTAGATAATTAACACAGTGGCAATTAAGAGGGTGTACCCTCCGTGTACCCTCACCGGGTGAATTATTCGCTCCATCTGGTGTTTCGTTCCAAAGGAAATCATAGAGACGATTTATCTGTTTCCCACGGATACAATTTAGGGCGTCGGCGTCACGTCGCGCGCCCTTACACGAATGCTATCACGTTAATAAACCGAATAAAACAAATTAAATGTGAAAGTCTTTGGCGTATCCATTAGATGGCGGTGTCTGATGCGATTGGACGTGCAGGTGCAAAAATTTGCAGAAATCGATTCGCGGATTGTAAACCGCAGCTTGTTTGGATCTAATCCGAAACGAAAATACTGGATCAGGGCAGCTCCATTGTGCCATAGGATTTTTGATCCTCGAGATCGAGAGATAACCGAAGGGGATCGGCGGATTTAAATGGAATCCCCCCGCACACGTGTGCGCACTTCCACTCGTGCAGGACGTGCAGTTAAAAGAATAAAAATGCTGCTAATGCTGATCTTCTGAAAAAAGTAATACTTTATACTTTAAATGTATCAACAGTTACAACTTGCACTAAAATATGAAAAGTGAACTGGGTCTGTTTATGAAAGCTCATCCCTCCAAGGGACCAAACGGACGACCCATGTGCGTGTAACCGATTTTTCATGGTGCATCCCAGCATCCAGGAACTCGTGGTCAACACCTGGTAGTTGGCACAGCCCCCAGAACATCCTGGTACCCACTCGAAATACGGCTCAACCCCAAACTGTCTATTAATTTATACTCAGCGGGAGTGTGAAATCGATTCATACTCGGTCTCGATTCATATTTATATTTACGTGTAGCTTTCACTGCTCGTCTCTAGTTTCACTCTACTCTACCGGTGACCCTATCTAGACAGAACCATTTTGCATATCATCATAATGTATAACTTGAAAAAGCGCGTAATGGAAGATGGTAGGTGTACACGTACATACAGGTATATCGTAGGCACACCTTGCTCAACGTTTGTCTCGAAACATCCGATCGTTGGTGAATGGTCGGATGCGCCACCGAGCTAGTCGTCCGAATCGTCGACTAATTTAACCATCGGCCAGCACGAGCAAATTCCAAGCCACCTGTCTAATATCTACTCCTGCATCCGTTTCCGGTACGCGAGGGGATGTTTTACCCCCTGCGGTGTCCCCATAACCGAGCCCTCTGCCAGGAGGGCACGATCCCCTGAACGTTCCATGCTTGGCTGCACAACCTTTGCCCCTCGATTTCCCGTGTCCATAGAATCGATCTGTTATCGTTCAACGTCCCTGCCACTATCAATCATCCGGACCAAGAACAAGTCCTTAAACATTCGAAAGACGTTTAGGTAGGATTTAGAATTTAGAAACTTTTGGATAAAAAGATGGCGCAATCTTGAGAAAAGAATAGGAAGTAAGTAAGTAAGTAAGCAGAAAGCTACAATTCAATGTATTTCTTTATTATTAGAGATTTAATATTATATATCATAAATCATTTATTAGAAAGACAAGGTCATGCGGGATTGTTCGTACGCACAAGATTTCAGATAAAGTGTTGGTCGCAAACATTTATAATTTCCTCGTGAATAAATGCATATTGAATGTATATTGAATGCATCGTATAATCAAGATATTTCTATTGACCGAGCCAGATAATGTTTGATATCTCTTCGTTGATCAGTGCGTTTTCAATAGAACGTTTAATTCCAAAGTTCTGCTTGGGGATTTCACCGATTGCCAATCTATAGATCTATAAATCCTTCTCCCCTTTATTCCAATTTACTTATCTAAACAGATTTAAAAATAATATTTTTAATATAATAATATTTAATAAAAAAAGTATTGTATACCACAAATATTTGTACAACGTTTGTCCAACGTTATAAATGTAATTGTAAATTGTAAATTGTAAATTGTAAATTGTAAATTGTAAATTGTAAATTGTAAATTGTAAATTGTAAATTGTAAATTGTAAATTGTAAATTGTAAATTGTACATTGTAAATTGTAAATTGTAAATTGTAAATTGTAAATTGTAAATTGTAATATTCCTGCGTGCAACATTGACACAATACAATGATACAATGACAATGACAATAAAAGAGAAATTTCAATTTTCATTGATCTCGTAAACAAAAGTTTTTATTTTCAGATAAACCGCTGATTGTGAGTTTACCAACAATTGGTTCAAATTCAAACGCTCACCGAATACAAAAAGTCCACGAGATCACTATCGATAAGGACGTTGAATCGAGATATCGCATGATTTGATTCTAACCAATTTCACGTATTACGTGTACGAAAAGTGAACATAACAAATTTGTTGTGATGTGGGTAACGATTAAATTTAGATAACGCACAGTGATGAGCAACATGTGATGATAAACTGTGGAGAGGAAGAGTCTAGAAACAATATTGGTCTCTGGGTATACGGAAGATCACAACACAACACACCAATGGCCTACCAATGGTTACGGCAGGAATACATGCAAATGCCCGTGGTGACACGAGCTTACACAACAGCTTCTGTCATCACGACTCTTGCTGTGGTTTGTAAAAGAACTTTCCTCCAAAAATTCCTCCGCATGTATAGAATACGTATTATCTCCGACAAAGTAACCGTAAGGTTATCTTTCTTTTCTCATTCTAGCAACTAGACTTGGTGTCTCCGTTTCGGTTGTACTTTAATCCCACACTGATAATTGAACAATATCAGGTAAGATATTCGAAACTTTCATGCTCGTAGTCGATATTAACATCTACGCAACGTATAAAACATTGAAATACCTGATTCGAAGGATGCAAAAGCCTCTATTAATATCGACTACTACAGAGTAACATTTGTCCAACGAATGATTGCTAGATAATTTGTAACATTTTTTCAGCTATGGAGATTAATAACGACGTTTTTATTCTTTGGACACTTGGGTTTCAACTTCTTTTTCAATATAATCTTTACTTATCGGTATTGTCGAATGCTGGAAGAAGGATCATTCCGCAGAAGGACAGCCGACTTTGTGATGATGTTTATCTTTGGAGGCATATGTATGATCGTATCCTTGCAATATTTCTTTTATTATATTCTGCAAGTTGCAAAAGTATTTGTACATTGTTAGAATTCTAACCTCTCCATATTATTTTAAGAGCATGAATTCAAATGTTACGTTAATTACATAGATTCGTACAAGTCATTAAATGCAGTCTTCCTTAACTTGCCATAGACATTTGGCTTTTTTGTTAATTTATTTTTCCTAGGCCACGCATTTACAATTATGTTGGTCTATGTTTGGTCGAGACGAAACCCATTCGTCAGACTGAATTTCTTTGGACTGATAAACTTTCAAGTAAGTTTGAACGTCAAGTTTCTTATTTATAAATGTAGAAAAGCAGGTTGCCGTTAAGCGTATTTTATACTTGTTTAGGCACCGTATTTGCCTTGGGTGCTTCTTGGATTTTCTGTACTTCTTGGTAATACAATATGGGTGGACCTAGTTGGAATGGCCGTAGGACACATGTACTACTTCGCCGAGGATGTATTACCACGTTTAAGAGGAGGTTTCCATGTCCTTAAGACTCCACAAATACTGTGAGTTATTTCAACACAAGTGTAGTAAATCGATATGTTTCGATAAAGATACTGCTGCACGTGTTTGTTTGTAGTAAGACTTTGTTTGACGCACATCCAGAAGATCCAGACTACACTCCACCACCGGAAGACCGCCCTGGTGGATTCAATTGGGGTCAAGAAGCCAACGTGCAGTGATTCTAAGTTTCAAGTCCTGCTTCCAAATCGTCTCTTACCGATTGGCATATCAAGTAAATTTTTATATTACTACGTATACAACATTGTTCCTTAATTTTCCCAGTTACTAATGAGAGTACTAAGTAATTACTTCAATTAAGTAATTACGCTGTCAACGATGCCACGTGGAATATAATGAGAAAAGACTTCCAATTTTTTACAGAGGTTACAATTTTCTATGCGAAAAATGTTGGCTTTACTTGCAATGGATATGTAATTATAATTATCAATGAAAACAGTATTTCTCAAACGATCGATTATTACGGTACATTTTGATACGCGCGATTGTCAACTAAGTATTGCGCTTAGTATAAATTTCCACTACGATCTTGTGCCTCATACGATAAACATAGAAAATTGCAAACCTTGTGTCCTTTCTTTTCGACACATTTCATTTATTTCATACACAAAGTACTGTTTTTACCATAAAATTGAACCACCTGGTTCCAAGAAAAATTCTACTGTAAAAACCACTCGTAAATAAGTGATGTACATAATATTTTTTATTTATTCCACTGTTTTAAACAAGTCCCTGGACTTTATAATATTAATTACATAATAGTACATTTGATTTTTTATGGGCATTTGATAAAAATAATATTAAAATATAAGTTAATAATTTCAAGGTGACAAGAGGTGACAATGTTTAACCAAATGTAAAATAGCATTCCCTTTCCTGTTGGTGTTTGTAATTTGTGCACATGAATGAGAGAGGAAAAAAGACGTGTAATGAGTTATGTATATACATGTACTTCTATGGAAATGAACTGTTTTTAGAAATATCGGGTCATATGTATAACGTTTAAACAAACGTAGTTGTTAATCAGGGAATTAATTTTCGTTTCTTTCTTTCGTCGCTAATATTACGATACGATTAAAATCATTTAATGTTTTGCGTAATAGGGGTTTGCCGTAGCGGTTATTTGCTTGTTTCGAGTCATTATGTTGCATGTTATACTGTGATGTACTTATCATTATCAACAAAAGAATGAATTCTAACGTAATCTGGAATGGTACATTTGTCAATCTATGGTTATGAGAAAATGTACGGAATGGCGAAGGCCATAGTATTGCAATTAATTCCCAGTTGAACGATTATCTATGACTTAACGATTTGTAAATACTAGTTGAAAATATGTATTTATTAAACGTATTTATACGACCGCTGAAATGAAGAAAATAGTTCCATTTAGTTTGACCGTGTACATAACGCTATTTGTGTTGGAATTTTTTTTTTGTGTAAAAGTTAAATTTTCAATTTTATTAGCAATTTTTCGGAGTTTCTTCTAATTTTTTTTAACATTGTACAAATGAAATACAACAAGCTCTTATCCGTAATGCATTACAGTGTTGCATGTTATTGTGCCATATAATAGTTATAATTTCATGGTAAAAAATATTGAAACTTTTGATGTTTCTGTAAACATTTAAAAAAAAAAAAAACAAAAAAAAACAGAATTTTGTTTATTTAAAAATTGTTATTTTTTTTAATGGTGATTGCAAGGAAGATTATTCACAAAATGATTTACAAAACCATTTATTTGATTTAAATAGTAAATGATTATCATAACAGGATATAATGATGTATAACTAGGTACATATACGCAATGACATGGACTATAATACAATGATCAAGACTCTATTGTACATATTTATTATATTGCCACCGTTGCTAGAAGCACTGTAATGTCATCTGGTTTACCACCTGAAAAATACAAAACAGAAACCCGGGGGATTAAAAACGTGTTTTTCAATTCATTTGAATGTTATCCCAGCGTAAAGATTAATGATTAAGTCTAAGATCGTCCTAGAATACTTTATATAATCGATCTATTTGAAAACACGTTGCTTTCACCAGGAATTTCAAATCAAATACATTTGTACAAGTTGTTCATACTAGCCATAAGAATTAAAGAATAGTTAAGGTATATCGTAGAAGGAAATCAACATTGACGCAAAGCCATCACCAAAGTATAAGAAATAGGTACACACATAAGATATAAAAAATTGTGAAATGTATCTTATAAATAAATTGAATATATTTTTTATTATATTATGCGTCTTTTGAGCGATCAAAGACCATTCTGTCCGATTAACAATTAATTTTTAGGTACCAGTTAATGTTATCACTGAAATTAATTTACTTTGTTTGTTTATACGTTTATTTTACATACCTATAGTGTCAATTCCATTCTCTCTAGCACTTTGGGCGAATGGAGACATAAATGCGCCATCGAAGGCTAAGCTACGTGCCATCCAGGCTATCGAATTTGCGACTCCTTGTATTTTGGTGGGGTCTCGTTCCCCTTGAACTTTTCGCATTTCAGTGATGAGCAATTGGTCAGGGACATTGTCAAACACCCCATCTGTTGCCAAAAGAATGACATCTCCATCTTCAACACCAAAACTAGAAGTATCCGCGGATTCTGGACTGAGGCAAAAAAAATATAATGATATTTTTCAACATCTTACAAACCACTCTATTAACTCATAGTACAGTAGAACGTTGATTATATAAATTAAGAGATACAGAATGGATACCTGTCACTGAGTACCAGACCAGAGTGCCCAGGAGGTGGCAGGGACAACTGGAACGGAGTGTTAAAATAGTGTTGTTGTTCAGAGGAACGATGAACTACTTCTCCCTTTCTTACAACTACGAAACCACTATCGCCAATATTAGCTGCATAAATGCTGCTGGTGTCTTTATTGAGAACTATAACGCACGCAGTGCTGCTACCTAAAATTATATTTTCTCAATAACTAAAAAACTTTTAATAATAAAAATGAGAGGAAAGAAGAAATTATTAGTACCTAAAATGGGTTGTTTGTTTTCTAACAATTCATAGTAACTACGTGCTAATAAGCCAGCTGGTTCCGAAGGTGTGAACCTGCCCATTGAGACTAGCCTTTCGCAAGTTCTCATTAAAAAACTAGAAAACTCTCCTGGGTCGATACCATAGTGTCTCCAACCACCTACACCATCTGCTACACCTAAGGAATCATAAGGAACATTGCACCGTTAGATGCAAGATGCTGGTATAACAAATACAGAATTTGATAGTAAACAAGTTTGTTTAAGATGCGGAGATATATAAAATATAAAAATACGATACTTTTATACACAAATCCGTACGTAAAATCATTTTACGGAAGAGTAAATTAACAACATATTTCAAGGTCATTGGAATTGGTAAGATAGTCAGAATTGTAAACAATTAAATTACCTGGTACACTAATGGACGCACTGTATTGTAGTCAGATATTAACGATACATAGTGTGTCTTAATGTTAGGAATGAGCCATTAAATTGAAATTGAAATTGAAATTGAAATTGAAATTACCTATAACTTCAGCAGCCTTGAATTTGGCACTGAACCAGGCATCGTCACCGAATTGACCTTTGCGCACTCGTCCTCGTGTGAAGTCTTTGGGGAAACCACATACCGCAGAAACGAACGATGCCTCGCGGTGCTTATTCACGTTAGGATCGGTGCACGCTGTGTAATTTGATATGCCGTTCCATATCGCCCGAGACAACAGCCTTCCAGTCCAATAAATGGATTGCATCGTATGGTGAAACTCAAACTCTGTCGACGCACATCTTTCACGATTAAACGACGAATCTGCATGAATTCGTTCAGCTTATTTACGAGCATATCGAAGGCATGTTTCTTGATAATTCCGTCATCAGATGTGTGATGTTAATTGAGCCTGTCGTCAGTGTTCCTGATGACACTTAACATGGGTCACACCGAGCACAGATTCCGACCCACGCTCGAGGAGCGTTTTCTGACTAAAATTATCGCCTGCTGGAACCTGGGATGTGGAAATCGACACAAACTTTGATAAAGCTACCTCCTCTATTCGCAAACTAACCTGAACTGAACTGACCTGAACTGTCGTCAGTATTGCACCCACATAACCCTATAGCTATACGCTAATACGCTTTGCCTCTGACTTCAAATCGGTAGATGGCAGTCAAATATTATTATAAATGTGCGAGGTAGAGATTGTGAACTTTCAGAGTTTCTGACAATGAGATTCCAAGCGCGCATAAGCCTTACTAGGAGTACAGTAACTTGTATCGATAATAAAATATAATTGAATTTGAAATAAGATTCATACAACGTAATACAAAGTAAGAATTAAATGAATCTGAAGAATGAATAAATGTAAGACTGGTACATTAGGTGTTGATAGTCAAATTACAAGATTTCGGACACTTGTAAATAAAACTCACACACTCGCTCACTCTAACGTTACAGTTGTCAGTCCTCGACGATGACTTTTAGATTGTACACTAGTATCTGTTGTATAATTTAGAAGGCTAGTAAATTTCTTATCTTTGCACAGCATGAAGAGTAGTCTAAATTAATTTGAATTTCCCACCATAACTTGTCTCAGTGGCGTCATCGGTGGGGAACTGTCCAAGTTTGTAGGGAAAATTGTTCAAACTATTTCCGCTAGATGGCGCTACGGATGTAGTTCAATAAATTATTCTCCATTTCGTATAAATTCATAATTAATACGATTCTTTGATTCATAACACCACCATATAATAGTTAATATGTAAAAACCATCATTTTCATTAATAATTCTTTAATTAGTGGCGCCGTCTAGCAGAAATAGCGGAAACTATTTTCACTACAAACTTGGACATTTCTCCACCGATGACGCCACTGAGACAAGTTATGGCGGGAAATTCAAATTAATTTAAATTACTCTATGCTGTATAGAGATTAGAATAGATTTGACTAGCCTTCTAAATTATACAACAAATGCTGGTGTACAATTGAATAAATTATGCCATAATTAATCAGATCCACTAGCCATCTTTTTATTCCTGCGTATTAAGGTAATCATCGACGTCTGGTTACTTTAATGTCGTTACGTGGGTTAAGAAAAAGAGCGACGCGTTTCTTTGAGTAAATCGCTTTACTAATGTTTATTAATAAACATTTCATATAGATTATTTTAATTTATTATAATTTAATACCTGTCTGCTGTTGTTGTTCTCGTGTTGTTGTTTCTTGATGTCGCAATCAATATGTTTATCGTTATATTTACACTATTCAGTATAAAATGCGAGTTCAAGATTAAATCACACCACTATGTTTTATGGACACTATCTGTCATCGATTAATAATTATCAATGCTTGTACTCAGGAAAATGCGAAGGGGGCAGTAGGGCAGTATTTTCATTATCACTAGTGTTGTTGGTATTTAATTCTTTAGGGGAACCATTATTTATGTTACAATCTAGACTAAATGTATCGTCTAGTGGGCATTTGTTTATATTAGGCAAGTGATTAACATCGATTCCACGAACGTCGGGGAGGAGCATTTGTTGTTGATGGGATTGAGCATTTTCAGTCTCGCCGTTTTCGAGACCGTTGTTGTCAGTGTGGGGCGGGGATGGATAATAGCCGCGCTGCTGTATTGGCAGTTGTTGTTCCAACGGCAGTTGGTGTTGTTGTTGTTGTTGATGTTGTTGTTGTTGACGTTGCTGCGACGACGGCTGCTGTTGCTGCGACTGCTGCGCGTGCTGATGTTGATGATGATGATGATGGTGATGTTGATGCTGATGCTGATGTCGATGATGATGTTGTTGATGTTGACGTTGATGTTGATGTTGATGCTGTTGCTGGTGCAGTTGCAGTTGTTGAGATTGTGATACGCGATGAGCGTGGTGACGCTGTTGCAGCAACGGTATCGCACCATCGGTCATCGTGGGTGGCAGCGGTGGCGGCGGCGGCGGTGGCGCCGGCTGCTGCGGTGGTCGGTGCTGCACTCCGTCCTCACTAGTCCATGGGGCTAGTGGTTGTTGAGCTTGAATAAATGCATCACTAGAAAATAACAAGATTACACGAGCCCATTGGATCTAGCTCACGACCACTAATGCTGCATACGTACGCCACGGCGGTACACGCGCTCGCGATCGCGATCGCACTTGCACTCGCACTCGCACTCGCACTCGCACTCGCATTCGCACCCGCCTCTGAAAAGCTCAAAATAGAGCCTTACCTTCTAATAGAGCCCATCTAATACATCTGTTCTACTAATTAATGTAATCATAATATAACCTTTTGCGACTTACAAGGGTACATTTCCAATTGTCACACGCTGATTTTCATAAAATTTATGTGCTAGGTAGAACGGCTGAAAACAGTCCCTTGAATGTTCTCATAGATCTAAACTACAACACTACTAACATCAATTATGTACCTAATATTGATTAATTAACAGTTATTGCGATGACAGGTGGTGTAGTCAGAACTACTTTGGAGCTATGGTTGTCTTAAATTGTTTACAACTATT